AGGTCAGGAGCAAAGATGACATTAGTTCCTCCTGATCTACATGACTGGCTGGTGGGTGTGGGAGAGTGAGAAGGGCGGATTCCAACCTCTGAATGGAATCAGAACTCTGTTTGCAAGAAGCCAGCTTGGATGTCGAAGCAGTAATCAGTCATACCCATTACACACCAGCATGGTGTGGTGTGACCCACAAGGAGCTAGCCAGTGTGACAGTTACTGGTCACATGCTGCTATGGAGCATGTGAAACATGGCTAGTGTGTGTGACTGAGGAAAACAGGTTTTTAAACTATTCTTTTGTGGTGCTGGGGATCGAACCCAGGACAAGCTAGGCAAGTGCTGTACCACTGAGCTATTATCCCCAGCCCCATCTTAACTAGTTTAAGCTTAGGTATCCACATGTGGTTAGTGGCTACTGCACTGGACAGTGCAGATATGGAGGACAATTTCTCTATGATAAGGGAATAGAGCAGGGAGGATTTAGGTATGCTATTCAGTGCCTGGTGTCAGCTGACTCTGTTCAAGAGAAAATAGGTGTGTTTCCATGATCTTTGGCTACATAACAAACTCTCCCAGAACTTGGTGGTTTAAAATAACAACACTTTTGTTTGTCCACAATTCTACACTCTGGCTGAGGCTCAGCTGGGCAGTTTCTCTGTTGGTGTTTTCATGTGGCTGGCTGCAGTAAGCTGGAGACAGCTGGGATCTGGAAACCTGGGGGATTACTCTCCATGACACTGTGAACTCTCCCTCAAAACCTAGCCCCTCCTGAAAAACAGCTGGACTTCTAACACGGTGGCTCAGGGCCCCCAAGGCACAAGAGTGGAGCCTCTGGACCTTCCAAAGTCTTAGACCCAGACCTAAGACACTTCCGTTACATCCTCTTGCTTAAAGCCGGCCACAGGCCCAGCCCAGAGGCACTGTGACCTGGGGGTACTACAGAGAGGCTTAAATGACATGACTGACCCACAGTCAAAGGGGAATAAATGGGAAGGGGACATAGTGTAACAGACAACCACAGGTCCCAGTTTGTGCCCAAGCTTCCAATTCTCCCCCAAGGGCAGAAGGGCATCTGAATTATCCATGAAACTGGTCCATGTTTAACTATTGCTTCACTTCCTCTTGGTAATAGCGTCATTGAGTCAGGACTCACATACCATACAATGCATCCATTTAAAGTGTGTAACTCAGTGGGTTTTAGTCTACTCACAGTGCTGTGCAACCAGCACCCCCAAAAGAAACTCCATACTCTTTAGCAGTCACTTCCACAGGATGTGACAACCATAACACTTATGTACATTCTGTCTAGACAGTTCATATAAATGGAATCCCATTTATATTTGGACACGTTCACTGTTTTTCCTAAACATTGTGACCAAACCAAAACATTTCTGCATGCCAGATTTGTTTCACAACCTCAAGGTATCCCCTGGCCCCGGTGGCTCTCACCTGTAATCCTAGCTTCTCCGGAGGCAGAGATCAGGAGAATCACAGTTTGAAGCCAGTCTGGGCAAATAGTTTGTGAGACCTATCTTGAAAAACACATCACCAAAAAGGGCTGGGGAGTGGCTCAAGGTGTAGAACTTGAGTTCAAACCCCAGTACTAAAAAAAAAAAAAAAAAAAAAAGGTATCAAATATTGGAACACTGCTCATAATTCCTCAGTATACCACTGGATTGAGATGCCCCCGTCCCATTTTTTAAACTTAGTTGTAGCTTTGTATTTCTCCAATGAGATGATCCAACTAAGTCAGTCTGCTACCATCCCAAACTCACATCTGTACTGGTCAATAAGTTATCACGATTCAAGACAAATGGTTTTGATTTCATTCCGTGCTTAATGTTGATTTCATTCTAGACCTTGCCTGAGTGTGCCAGGCTAGTCGGTCTTAGAACAAATACTCAAAGACTCTGTCTCCCCACCAACTGGAACCTGGAAGGAATACCAGGAGGAGTCAAATCAGACACACACTTTTCTGTAAGTGTGAGTTCTATTGGCTATTAAATATGAGATCCTGGACAGGAATTTGAGGGGTTTGCTTTTCCTTTTCATGAGTTAGGATACTAATATGAACAGTAAGGTGTTTACATTCAAATGAACATTCATTCATTAATTCCATTGCCCATGGCTATGCTAGACTCTAGAAATATGACAGTGAACAAAAGAACCAAAGATCCAAGCCCTCACAGCTTGAAAGACAGACGTTAAGTCATTTTGCAAAATAAATAATTACACATTATAATGGGTGCTGTAAAAAAAAGTATAGGGAGTTTGAATGACATTTAACAAGTAGGGTGATGATCTCCCCTGCAGGAATAGAAAAGCGACATTTGAGCTGATAGCAGAAAAACAAGTAGTATTAACAGATGAGAAGGTCCAGTTCTGGCATCAACTCCTCTCTCATTAGCTATTTAACAGATACACATTGCCTGCTGGGGCTGGCACTGTGCTAAGTAAGCATTCGTCTATATGTTAAGACGTTTTTTTAAAAAAATTTTTTTAAGTACTGTTATACTGGGGGTTCACTATGACATTTACAAAAGTTCTTACAATATCATAGTTGAATTCACCCCCCTCTATAATTCTCCTTTACCTTCCCTCCTCCCATTCCTAGAATAGTTTTAAGAGGTCTCGTTTTTCCACTTACATACATCAGTACCTAATAATCCCACCATATTCACCCTCCTACACCCTTTCCTTATATCCTACCCCTCCCACTGGGGCCAAGTCCCAGACAGGACCCGTTTTACCTTCCTGTTCTCCATTTTTGAAAAAAGACATTATTGTTTGTTTAAGATAGCTTCACATGGAGTTTCATTGTGATATTTCCATGTATATATGTATATGTATTATAACCTGAATTGGTTCATCCCCTCTATTTTTTAATATGTTAGATATTTGAAAAAGTAAATATAATAAAAGCTGCTTCAGCCTTTTCTTTTTCCAGTACTGGGTCTTGAACTCAGGGTCTACACCTTGAGACACTCCGCCAGCCCTTTTTCTGTGATGGATGTTTTGAGATAGGGTCTCACGAACTGTTTGCCCGGTTCGAGGTTTAGAACCTCGATCTTCCAGATCTCTGTCTCCTGAGTAGCTAGAATTACAGGTGTGAGCCACTGGTGCCTGACACTTCAACCTTATGGGTAGGATTATTTATTTTGGTGGCCTGCTGGCAAGCCATTTTCCAGGGAGTGGCTTCATCCTAGTCTTGAATGGAAGTAAGGATGGGGAGGTAGTTTTGTAAGAGGTGCTTAAGCTGTTTTTGCTGGAAAGCAGTGACTCCTTACTTGGGCCCAGGAATTAACTAAACACAGGAGAAAAGCCAGGCATCCGAGTCCATTCTGTACCTATTGTTCTTCACCCTGAGCCATTCACTCCTGCAGCCACCTTGGAATCCACGAAGGACAGAAATGACTGATAACATCCTTAGGACAAGGGACAGAAACTACCCCAAGGAACAACAGAGCCTTGCAGCACAGACCACCTCCCAAATGAGGACAATTACCTATAATGATGAGCACCCAGGAGCAGGAGTAAACATGTTTTGGGAACCAGATTTCTCCCCTTAGTGATGACAACTCCAGAACCCTTGAAGAACAAGGACTGAGATGACCAACCAGGCCACACCTGTGAGTAGGACTCTTTATGCATACATTTTGTCTCCTGCCCTAAGTCTTCCCCCCCACCCCCCACGGTACTAGGGTTTTGAACTCAGGGCCTACACTTTGAGCCACTCCACCAGCCCTTTTTTGTGATGGGGTTTTTCGAGATAGGGTCTCTTGAACTGTTTGCCTGGGCTGGCTTTGAAACTTGATCCTCCTGAACTCTGCCTCCTAAGTAGCTGGGATTATAGGTGTGAGCCACCAGTGCCCCACTCCCTGTCCTAAGTCTAATGCCAGTGTTTGTATACCCAGAAGATGGCTGAAGATGGGCTGAGTGTTTACTCTGCCTCTTCCTACGGTGCGTTCTGGGCCAAATAATAAACCTTTCTCTTTCTTTCACCATGTCTCTTTTATTTGGCATATAGGAGAGAGTGGTTTAGCCTGACATGTGGAAACCCGGGATTTTGGGCTTGGAGTTCAAAACTCTGGTTTCAGTTTTACTCACACTATTTGAATCACTGCCACCGCAGTTACCAGCTTCTGAGCCATGCTGGGGGTGTTTTAGGTTAACACTGTGCCATTCTTCCAAGTGCCAGGCACAGCCCCCTGGGTGTAGGGGCAGGGGGCAGAACAAGACACCAAAGAACTCTGCCATCATGAAGACTGCACCTGAGCTGGGCCCCTTGTTTGTTTTTGTTTTCCTGGTAGGATTGGAGTTTGAACTTAGGACTTCCCGCTTGCAAGGCAGGCGCTCTCTACCACTTGAGCCACATCTCCAGTCCATTTTGCTCTGATTATTTTGGAGATGGGGGTCTCCCGAACTATCTGCCTGTGCTGGCCTCCAACCGCCATCCTCCTGATCTCAGTCTTCCAAATAGCTATGATTACAGGGGAGGCCACTTGTTCTTAATGGGCGTAGGGCTGGAGTCTGCGAACATTTTCGGTTGTCACAGCCGAGTGGCAGGAGTGGACCTGGCATCTAGTAGACAGCAGAGGCCAGGGATGCTGCTAAACGTCCTTCAGTGCACAGGACAGTCCCACATCAGTTACTGGCCCGAAATGCCAGCAATGTAGGGCTGCGGGAACCACGTCCCGGGACGCTAGGAGGCCAGGGAGGCTTGCGGGCAGGGACAGAGCCAGCCTTAAGAAGCCGGCCTGGAGCGCAGCCGCGGTGAGGAGCGCCGAATTCAGTCCGTCTGTCCTAGCTTTCCCGCCGGCCAGGCCACAGCGGCAGCTTCTCGCAAGCCGGTCAAGAGCTGACCATTTCGCCGAACTTCCGGGAAGAGACCGGAAGTTCCCAAGTTTGAGCGGCGGCTGCCTGACCAATGGGAAGGCTCAGAGATGGTAGTCTCGCGAGAGCGTGGCAGCGGTGCCTTCTGGGAAAAGAAGCCGGACGGCCGCGGCCGAAGGCCAATGGAGGGCACGACGGCTGAGCGGGCGCCGCTGCTTGGCGCGCGGCGGGCGCCGGCGGCCGGGGCGTTCGCGGGCCGCCGTGCGGCGTGCGGGGCCGTGCTGCTGACCGAGCTGCTGGAGCGTGCCGCCTTCTATGGCGTCACGTCCAACCTGGTGCTGTTCCTGAATGGCGCGCAGTTCGGCTGGGAGGGGACGCAGGCTAGCCAGGCGCTGCTGCTCTTCATGGGCCTCACCTACCTGGGCTCGCCGTTCGGGGGCTGGCTGGCCGACGCGCGGCTCGGCCGGGCGCGCGCCATCCTGCTCAGCCTGGCGCTCTACCTGCTGGGCATGCTGGCCTTCCCGCTGCTGGCCGCGCCCGCCTCGCGCGCCGCGCTGTGCGGGGACCCGCGCCCCGAGCGCGTGCTCAACTGCTCGGCGCCCTACCCCAACGGCAGCGCCATCTGCCCCGCCGTCGCCGGGCGCCGCTGTGCGCCCGCCACCTTCGCCGGGCTGGTGCTCGTGGGCCTCGGCGTGGCCACGGTCAAGGCCAACATCACGCCCTTTGGCGCGGACCAGGTGAGCCTGCCCCGCCCACCCGCGCCCACCCTCGGCCCCGCTCCGGACTGTACTGGAGGGCGAGGGACAGAGAGTTCCTAACTAAGGGAAGTTCCTTCTGGTGCGGGGAGGAAGCCCACCTGCTGCTGCACCTGCTGCGGGACTAGAGGGAGAGGGAGCGCCCTGCCCACCCTAAGGGAGTTTCCTTGTAGTGTGGGCAGGAAGTCCATCCGCTCCTGCCCTGTACCCTGTTGGGACGGGAGGGGATGGAGGGCGAGCTCCGAACTAAAGGAACTTAATTTGTAGTGCGGAGAGGAAGCCCACCTGCTCTTGCACCTTCCATAGGATAAGAGGGAGAGGACTCCTAAGGGAGTTTCCTTCTAGTGTAGGGGAAAGACTGGGAGTAGGCAGCCGCTCTGCCTGCACCCACTGCACGGACACCTGTCCTTGCACCTGGTGCCAGGCCTCTGGAGGAAGAGGGATTTCCCCTCATCTTGAAAGCTTTCTTCTAATGGGGAGAGAAAACCTGCCCACCTGCGTCTAACCTGTCCTTGCACTTGGTGCAGGATGAGCTGGAGGGAGAGGGACCCACCGTCCTACTGCAGGGAGGTAACCACATCTTCCTCTCTGGGTGGAAGAGAGAGGGAGCTGTGTGGCCCTTCTTTAGGGAGCTTCCTCTCTAGGCAGAGGGAACAATACAGGCAGGATGGGGTGGGACTCACACATAGTGGTAGCCTGGGAGGCTTTAAAGAGAAGGAACCTCTTTTGTATTGAGGGGTCATTTGAATTGAGTCTTGAAGGATAGGAAAGTTTACCATACAGGGGGTAAATGCACAGGCCAGGGGCCAGAAGAAAGGGTCACCCCTGTCCTTGCTGTAGCTTCCCTTACAAATAAGTAGGTAAACACTTAACATTCTGTCTTTGTTGTTTTAGAGGAGTTTCGGGGTGAGCTTGGTAGGAAAGGCCAGATGAAAAGGAGTTTGAGTCAAGTTAAGCATAAACTGCTGCTCTTAACCTAGCCCCACCAAGAGATGGGAAAGGGCCAGAGCTTCCCAGGGGAAGGGAAGTGAGAAGCAAGTGGTCTGGGTGCCAAATAAGGGCTACTTCCTGTTTTTGGAGAACTCACATGCTAAGAATGGCTCTTATATTTTTAAATGATTGGAAACAGAGTATTTTGTAATAGTGAAAATTATGAAACTCAGATTTTGGCCTCCATAAAGTAGGTTTATTGGAACACAGACCTGCTTGTTCCTGCCCACATGTCCCCTGTGCTAAAGCTGCCCTCAGGAGGCCCGGGGCAGAATCAGTAGTTGTTACAGAGGCTGAACCCTAACACGTCAGCTCTGTGCGTTTTCTCAGAAAGGTAATATCTGTCTAGAGAGCGGGCTGTGTGGAAAGTGGTGACACAGGGGTTCTAGGTAGGAGTCTACTGCAGCTGGTCAAGTGAGAGAGGCCTGGATCGGAGGCCATGGGACTGGAGTGCACGCAGGTGGCTTGTGTGTGAGCAGTAGGAAGGTGACTCCCGGGACTTTGTGCTGAGCGTCCCTGTGAGGGCCTGCTGAGGCCCGGAGCACCTTTGTTCTCTGTCTTCTAAGCTGAGCCATACACACAGTGCAACATGAACCCCCTTCCCATCCCAGCATGACAGCATTTATGGTGGGTATGCAGAGATCAGGGAGCCAAGTGCAGAGGGGAACAGGTTTTGGATGCAGTCTTTCTGCCTGAAAGTTTAGTGCTCATAAAAGAATAAGCCAGGCACCAGTGGACCACGCCTGTAATCCTAGCTACTCTGGAGTCAGAGAGCAGAAGTCTTGGTTTGAGACCAGCCCTGGGGGAAAAATACTCAGCACACAAAAAAGGCTGGCAGAGTGGCTCAAGTGGTAGAATGCCTGCCTAGTAAGTATGAGACCCTGAGTTCAAACTTCAGTACTGACAAAACAAGATAAACAATGTGGACACTGAAGTAGGTACTCTCTCCTAAGAGTAACTGGCTTAGTCTCATGGCACTGTTGTATTATTGGGGTGGAAGGACACTACATATACTTAACAGCCAGCTGCAGGGGTGCTCTGGGACTGGCTCTCAGGTGTAGTGTAGACTGGCCTTGAACTCACCATACTTCGGCCTCAGATTCTCAAGTACTGTGATTTCAGGTATGCACCTCATGCCTGGCTCCTAGTTGTTTCTTTAAAGCCATTCTTCTAATTAAAAAAAGGGCTAAAAATTTAAATGGGATGGGAGTGGGGCAGACAGGACAGGAGTGGTGTACACTCTGAGTATACAAGGTGCCATTGGCTACCTGTTAGGTAAGTTACAAAAGTTCCAGGAAGCTAGTACTATTATGCCAAAGTGCAGGTCTTGGCTGGTCTTTGAGGGGATTTCAAAGGCAAAGGCTTTCCTTGTCCCTGAGGTGCTGGCTGCTTCCTGGGGGGTAGGGAAAGGAAGGATGTATGCACTGCTGCTCCCTGTGGGGGCTTAGTTTGTCCTGCTAGGCCTTGTCATTTGGAAGAAATGTGTGTGTCTTAAGGTCCATTTTCTGAAAGTTTCTCTACCCTGTGCCTCTGCACATTGGGCCCTGGAAGACGATCTGATGGGGATGTGAGTGGGGCCAGCCTGGGTAGCTTTGAGGAAGAGAGCCCCATTGCTTTTGAAATTGGACTATAAGCTATAAATTCAGAGGTGCTATATTTTGATGTACATCTTGCCTGTGCCTGTTTCATATCTCCCCTGTGCTCACCCTTTTTCAGACATCACGGTCATTCTTGGTGGATGGAGTATTTACAATGGTGATCTGAAAGAGGAAAAACTTACTGTACAGATAAGGAAAGCAAATAATGTGATTTTTTTCTAGTGGGGAAAACTGCATTCTTGTGCATTTTAAGGAATTTTTCTGAGTCAGCCATCTGTCTAACTCGCTATCGGCAGTTCTGTCCTTTTTAGCTTTGCTTTTCTGGCTTGGTTTTGGTGTGTCTTTGGAGCAGTCATGTGAAAAGCTTTTTTACCTTGGAGGGCTGGCTGCAGTTGTGCACTTGATGACGTAATGCCAAGGATGCAAAGTGGATCTGTGGCCTTCAGCCAAGGCCAGGGCACGTGATGTCCCAGTATAGCAGCAGTTCCTCTTCATCTGGCCCCGGGACAGTCTTCAGTGACCACCATGTTTACAGAGGAAGTGAGGATAGATGGAATTTTAAGGTTGGGAAAGGGTATGTTGTGCCACGATGGAAAGCGGAGAGGCCCCAAGGGTGCGGCAGGAGGATTACTTAAGCCCAGGAGTTCTAGGCCAGCTTGGGCAACACAGTGAGAGACCTCATCAAAACGGATTTTGTTATTGGCCTCTTCCCATTTCAGGTTGTTAAAACAATACTGCCCCCCACTTTGTACACTTTTAATTATATTTTCTCTGTCACTGTTTCACTCATAATTTTTGTTTCTCCTACTCTGTGTCCACTGTAGCATGAATACTAATGCCCGCTGTTTGGTAACATGTAAAGGGATTGTGCCAGGGTACAAGAAGGTCAGTGTAGCCCAGCTCGTGGCTCACGCCTGTAATCCTAGCTACTCAGGAGGCAGAGATCCGAAGGATCAAGGTTCAAAGCCAGCCCATGCAAATAGTTCTCAAGATCCTATTTTGAAAAAACACGCATCACAAAAAAAGTGGCTCAAAGTGTAGGCCCTGAGTCAAACCCCAGTCCCAGGGAGGAAAAAAAAAAACCTCAGTGTAAACCCATCAGGAGTGGTGCCTTGTTAGGCACAGGGGAGCATGGGGTTTGCAATTTGAAATGACACAGTAGATGTCTTAATCATTTGAACTTTAATAAATTTTGAGGAACACTCGAATTTGATTATGTATTTTACACTCCTCCTTTAATCCTCAAAAAGTAAAGTTTACAATTTCAGGTCAAGTCATGACTGCTACGGAGATGTTTGTGTTGTGATTGGCTGTTTCTGTAGAAGAGCTTGCTGTGTGGACCAGAAACACGATCAGTGGTAGAGCAGAAGTTTTCTGGATTTTCACACACCATAGCTTTGGGGAAGGCAATAGAGGTCACTAGGACAGTGGACGTGGCTACCTTTTCATGAGCCCCAGTGCCAGCCTGTAGCAAGTGAGTTGGTTAAAAGCTTATGAGATGAACCTTACTGGAGATGCTTCTGGCTGGAACAGGGCTCCTTCTTGCAGTGTCTGCTTAGATGCTTGATAATTTTTTTATTTTTGTGGTGCTTGGGTTTGAACTCAGGGCCTACACATTGAACCACTCTGCCAGCCCCCCACCCCTTTTTTCCAGTACCGGGGTTTGAACTCAGGGCCTTCACCTTGAGCCACTCCACTAGCCCTACTTTTGTGATGGGTTCCCTCCCCCCAAAAATAAGGTCTCTCGAACTATTTGCCCAGGCTGGCTTTGAACCGGGATCCTACTGATCTCTGCTTCCTGAGTAGCTACGAGTAGCCACTGGCACCCAGCTCATGTCTGCTTAGATGTGAGCATCCGGGTGGAAAGAGACCTTTCGGTGCCTGCCCCAGGCTAGCTACTGGCTGAGCCGTGGGCTCTGTGGATGTGGCTTGCCAGCTGGACTTGAGGTTGCCTCTTGCTTGTGTTTTGAGCCCAGGAAGTAAGTGATTTTTGATCCTTTTAGGAATCGCTACCCTTATTAGAATTTCTTCTGTTTGCATTGATAGTCTTTTTAAAAAACAAAACGAAAATAAACAACGTGGTCTCTTTGTGTCTTTGTAATGCAGCCCTGGCAAGCTGTCTTGGAACTTGTGATCCTCCTGCCCCAGCCTCCTGATGCTGGGATTGCAGGTGTGTGCTACCACACCTGGCTTTTGATAGCTTTTCTAATCTAAAACTATTTGTGGTTTTAGCTTAGTCTATAGCTGCCTTTTTCCTTCACGTGTGTCACAGTCTGTTTCTCTGCAGCCCAGTGGGGGCATAGGTTCCTTGGTCCCCAAACAAATGTGCAGTCCCAAGTCCAGTGCCTCAAGCGTGGTAGGCAAGCTCTTACCGCTGAGCTGCATGCCCAGGCCTGCTCTGAGCACATGTTCCCCATAGTACTGCTGTTTGGGGCCTAAGTCTGTCACCAGAAGCCTCATGGCACTTGTGTTTAGTCCATTAAGGTGTAGAGGCTATATGTGAGCAGAAGTCTTGTGGAAAGTTCTTACCATGCAGGTTCCTGGCCTGACCGCAGCTGATGCAGCAGGTCCAGAGAGTGTGCCCTGTGAAGATGTCTTTAGACGAGGACCATTCCGTGTGGTTCCAAGGCAGCTGGGCACCACCTTGCACCTAGGATCTGTTGGTATTTGGAGATGCCCCCGAGCCTTCTAGCAGCTAAGTCCTTAGAACTTGTTTGCATCTCTAAGCCTGTCATACTGTGCTACACTTCTTGAAGGCTGTGCTGGCAGTGGGGCTTTCAAGCCCTTCATTATACCTGTTTTTCCTTGAGGATTATCCCACTACTTAGGAGGCTAAGGCAAGGAGGATCCCTTGAGCCCACGAGTTTGAGGCCAACTTGGGCAACACAGTGAGAATCTGCCTGAGAAAGAAGGGGCGGGGAGGGGGAAGGAAAAGAAAATTAAAAATTAAATCATTATCACATGTTTTCATGTGTTTTTCCTCCCTGTTATTTTAGGTCAAAGATCGAGGCCCAGAAGCCACTAGGAGATTTTTTAATTGGTTTTATTGGAGCATTAATTTGGGAGCAATCCTGTCGTTAGGAGGAATTGCCTACATACAGCAGAACATGAGCTTTTTTGCTGGTTACCTGATCCCCACGGTCTGCGTGGCCGTGGCTTTCGTGGTCTTTCTCTGCGGCCAGAGTGTCTTCATCACCAAGCCCCCGGATGGCAGTGCCTTCACAGATATGTTCAAGATCCTGACCTACTCCTGCTGCTCCCAGCGGCAAAGTGGGAGACCCCTGGGCAGCAGGTGAGTGCTTCATTTTAAGGGCGCGTCACTGTTGGGAAAATGCCAGCTAACATACGGCTTGGTTTGTTGTGTGCTGGACACTGGACTCCATAGTCTGCTTGTCTGGTGTCCTCTGAACTGCGCCCGCTGGAAAAGGGGTTCATTGTCACCCCTTCGTGTGAGTGTAGAGTTCATGTTCTGTCCTTCAACCCCAGCCTCCATCTCACTGCCAGTGTAGATGGGTGCTTCTGGCTGCTCAGGGGCAGATTATAAAGTTGCATACGACATGCAGGAGACAGAAGACATATTGTATACCCCGTGTTTCATTTTGAAATTAACCTAAAGCATGAATGAAAATCTGAGCAATTGCTTATTTGTAGGTCTGCTCGAGCACCCTTATCCAACCCTGGCAGGCACTCTGACAGAAGGCAGGGACAGTTTTGAGGTGCCCTCAGGAATCAACAGCCCTTATTTGTGAGGGGCTTAGGTAGCAGCTTTAGAGCTCGAAGTTCTGTGACTGGGAATCCTTGCCGGTCCCCTGCACATGGGCTGTCATGATAGAGGTGGGTCACTAAAGCGTACAGAGACAGAGTGGAAGAGCCTGCAGCTACTCTTGCTGCTGCTTGCTGGGGTAGACTGTCAATGCAATTGTGTGAATTAGGACAAAGGCACCATTGGTAGGACCACAGTGCCCTCAGGGTGCAGAGTGTTCCATCCCCACAGGCATCCCTGTGACTTCAGGATGCTTTGACCAGCCTGGGATGCAGAGCTAGATCTTGCAGCCTCTGGGCTTCTTGCATCCAGGGCAGCACACCCATTATTGGCCAGCACTGATTGCTGGGATATTCACAGGCCACCACATACCCTCTCTGTTCTCATTTGTGTTTGTTGTGCTTGTGTGCTGGGGGCCACAGTGGCTGTCTAACACTGTGTGGTAGATTTGAGTAACTCCTGTGGCTCGGCTTCTGGGGTGGGTGAAACCTCTGATTGCTTATATTTCTCGTGTGAGGCCTCGCTTGCCTCCTAGCCTTCCTAGTAGACATGGTGGAGGTGCTGGTGGTGGCCTTCACAGTGGGACCATGCTAAGGAAGGATTATGAATGAAATTGCTCAGCAACAGACAGTGGTATTTTGCTGGGGGCCTTGTTTTGATTAGACAGAAGCAGCAATTTGGCTCTTAGATTTGTTCCCGTGGATCAGATTCCTATTGGTACAATACAGCATTTCCAGACCATGCCTGGAGGCTGTGTGTAGACTTTCTACAAGGGAACAGCACTGCTTTAAGGACATTTGGGGGTTCAGTGTACAGGTGGCACATGGAAGAGGTTCTGGAATTACTTAGGAAACTGATTTCCCTTTAGATTTGTTTTGGAAGTCTTAGGCAAAGGTGAAAAAGGACTAGCTTGTAGAAAAGTTGATCTACAGGATTGTCAGAGTGCTCTTCCTATGAGCTGGCTGTGTGACCTTGTGACTTAGTGACCTTGCCACACCTACCTTTCCTTTTTGGCATAGTGTTGATGGACGAATCTAGCAGGGTCTTTGTGAGGCCCAAGTGTGGTGAGCTGTGAAAGACTTTTGAGACGCTGTAGGCTGCAAGTAGGCTGTCCATGACAGCTACCTTGATGTGCCTTGAGGAGGGGCCTCAGGAGCCTGTTTGCGTAATAATATACCACGCACCTGTTTCCACACATGTGGCTCCCGGCTTCAACTGGCCCAATCTCAGTTTCTGCTGTAGGGCGATCTGTTTGGAAGATGGTGGAATTCTGATTTTAAACGAGAATTAAAGGTCTGTCTGTCTACTTCATCAGTCATTTCTATTGGAGCAGAAATGACTGAGACCTTCTGTAAGATCTGCAGTTCTCTGAATGCAGTCTTGAGAAGTGGCAGGCCCTTTTCCAAACATTCTTGTGCCCTGCACAACTTTTGCAGACCGTGGCATAGCCTGGGAAAGCCAGCACACAGACTTGTGGGTAGTCGCAGTGATGTCATCTGTAACTGTGGCCTTGTGTTGCGTTGCAAAGTAGTGTGCTAACCATGAGTGGACAGGCTTTAGATGCATATTGAGTTAGCATTTTTCAAAATACTTTAATGCTATGAGGCAAAAGTAAGGTAGCTTGTAAGTAACCTGTGTGAATGGTTCCTTGTGCAAAATGGATTTTTACTTGGCCTTTAAATGTTTTAGAGAAGCGTACGTAGCATGATGTGGTAAATCACTGATAACGTCTGCATTAGGTAATAAAGACTTAGGTTTCTTTTTGAAAAAAGAAAAAATAATTTGAAGTTATGAATACTTTAAAACTGAACAACGTCTTTGGAAAGAGAGTTTCACTTTTCAGGTTATAGTTTTCAGCTTTTTGATTTTTCCGCCATTCTGAAAGTCTGGATTAAAAGTGTCAGCTTTATAAGAATAATTTTAAATAGTGGCAACTTAGTGAGCAGGGCCTGAGTTTTTAAACCAGAAAGGAGAGAACTGGCAGCAGCCTCCATGGTATCTCTGCAGAGTGGTGTTTCCCTGCTAAGGTCCTTGGTGCCTGTTCTCTGGCAGATGGTTGGGGGCTGGATAGAGCTTGGCTTGGCCTAGCAGGGTCTTCTGCTCAGATTGAGAAGCAAAGATCCTTGTATGATCGCAGGGCACACACATCCTGTGTTCTGGGCTGTGAACCACAGTTGTGAGAATGGTGTCTTGGTGAGGAGCAGAGGGGCCAGAGGTAACCTGCAGTGGCCAGTGCTATAGCTCCAAAGCCACGTCTATTCAGATTCAAGTCCCAGCCCTAACTCTGTAGCCTATGACCTTGGCACATTTCTTATCCTCTCGTAGCTTCCTCTTTGAAATGGCCAGTAGAGTCTTTTAATACCACCTAGGCTTGTAGTTACGATTAATGAGTGAGCCTGGCTCACCAAGCACTCTGGTGGTGTCCCTTCCCTGTGCTTAGTCTAAGACAGCCAGTAGCTTTCCCTGCAAGCAGAGCACCTCTCCTTCCAGTCACACATAGGGACATGTCTGCAGTAAGCCAGCATGGTTTTTTTTGGTGGTACTGGGGTTTGAACTCATGGTCTCACACTTGCTAGGCAGGCACTGTACCCCTTGAGCCACTCAGCAAGCCCAGCATGTGTGTTCTTAACAGCATTGGAATTGGTTGTCAACTTTGACAGTTGAGAAAATTAAAAGTCCAGACACTATAATTAGGGTTTTTTTTCACCTGTAATCCCAAGGTGTAGCAGATCTTCCTGGCCTCAGATACACTTTGGCTCTCCTGAGCACAGTGGGTTGCTGAGACCAGCTACAACCCATTTTCTGGCCACCCCTGCAGTCACAGTAACCCCCAGCATGCTGACCAGAGGCCCTTTTGTCCTTTCGTCCTCAGGGTCAGCACATTTGCTAAGTTAGAAATAATTACATATAGTGTTAGGAAAAAGATGAGTTAAAGCAGATTCAGAACAGTGAGCTTATTTCCTCCCCCAAACTTATTTGTTACCAAGTAATTGATTGCTGGAGGTGGAAGAAAACTAATTCCTTCATTTTGTTTCCCAAAGTGAAGGCATTGGAGTCTTTCAGCAATCTTCTAAACAAAGTCTGTTTGATTCATGTAAGATGTCGCGCGGAGGGCCGTTCACAGAGGACAAAGTGGAAGATGTGAAAGCCCTGGTCAAGATCGTGCCTGTGTTCTTGGCTTTGATTCCTTACTGGACAGTGTACTTCCAAGTGAGTGCCGACAGGCAGGGTTCATTCCTCCATCTGCTCAGGCAGTTCTGCCCCAGTACTTGCTCATTGTTTTTTTCTCCTGAATCTCTAAGATATTGGAAGCTTTGTGTTTAATTATGGACTCATTTTGGCTGCTTTACCTATTTTGAAAACCTTTCCCTAGAAGAAGCTAAGAGTGGGTGTTTTTCTGGCTTCCTGACCCCTCTTTAATTTAGCTTCTCATTTGGATAACTGACAGTTCTTTCCCAAATTGACCTTCAGAGGACTTTCTGTTGAGCAAATAATTGAACTGTCCATCTCAAGCTTGAGCCAGTGTCTCACCTCAGGCAGGAGAGGGGAGGGTGACCTGCCATAGGCGTGGAGAAGCTCAGGTGGTTCACATGCAGTGTCCCCTTTCTGTACCCAGATGCAGACCACGTATGTCTTACAGAGTCTTCATTTGAAGATTCCAGAAATCTCAAGTATCACCACCACCCCGCACACGGTAAGGACTGACATGATCTAGTCATAGGCATCCTATCCACATGGGCAGCTGGCACAAACTAGAGTGCTGTTCCTGGAGTTGAGTCCTTCTTGCTGTAGAAAATTCCTTTCTGTTGGTTACAGCCTCCATTAATTACACTGGGTAATATCAGTTAAGCATTAATATTTCTGCGACCACCTCCAGCTCAGAGGAGTACACACACAGACTCATTTGGAAGCACATCTCTCCCCAGTTCCAGCGTCTTGGAACTGAAGTCCTTTCCTGGGGGTTGTACCATCCTTTGGGGTCTCTCCTGTGTGGGTGTGGTGTGGGTGTGTGTCTGCCCTGTCCTGCAGGGAACTAACAGCCCCTGTGTTCTGACCCAGTTCCCGGCTGCATGGCTCACCATGTTTGATGCGGTGCTCATCCTGCTGCTCATACCGCTCAAGGACAAGCTGGTGGACCCGGTGCTGAGAAGGAATGGCCTTCTCCCGTCCTCCCTCAAGAGGATTGCTGTGGGGATGTTCTTCGTGATGTGCTCGGCCTTTGCCGCAGGTGAGCAGCCCGTCTCCTGCACAGCCTGCTTCAGCAGCTGCTCTGAAGGCCGCTGGCTGGGCCTCACTTTCTAGTTTTTCATGATACAAAGTTTAAGTTTTCTTCCTAGGAACACGTGGTCTTGTTTCCTGCAGAACTAATACCATAGAGTTACTCTGAAAAGTGCCTTTCGGATTGAATTAAAGGGCCTTGTCCTCAGCCTGGATTTGGAGTGCAGATTGCTAAGTGGAGGGTTTCTATGAAATAGGGTGTTGTATGATTCTTAAGTGTGAGAGTTCTGCCTTAGGATTTGTAACCGAAGGCTTAATGTAGGCCTTGGGATGTCCCCAAATCTGTAGGTTGGCTTTTTTTTCCCCTTTCTTTGCTGGTACTGGGGTTAGAACTTAGGGCTTCATGCTTGCCAGGCAGGCACTCTGCCACTTGAGCCACACCTCCAGCTCTTTTTGCTCTGGTTATTTTGGAGATAGGGTCTTGCTCTTTGCCCAGGCTGGTCTGGACCACAGTCTTCCTATTTTATGCTTCCTGCTGTAGTGTGTACCACCATGTCCAGCTTTTTTCCTGAGATGGGGTCTCATGAGCTTTTTTTGCCTGGTCTGGTCTGGAGCTTTGATTGTTCTGGTCCCAGCTTCCTGTGTAGCTGGGATGATAGGCTCACGCCTCAAAGCCCAGCTCTTGGTTGATACGGAGTCTCAAACTTTTTGTCCAGGTTGGCCTCAAACCAGGAGCTTCGTGATCTCATCCTCAACTAGCTAAGATTACAGGAGTGAGCCACTGACACCCAGAATCTTGTGAAATTTCATGTGTGTTTTTTTGTGAAGAGATTTTATCAGATTGTTATAGCACCGCCCCCCCCCCAAAGAAAAATACTATTAAGAGGTAGTTCCTGAGTATTCATACACTGAGGGGTAATGGTCCTTGTGGGGAGGCACCTTTATGTTTCATAATTCTTAAATTTTGAAATACTGTTTTATCTTTTGCTTACAAAGCTGAGGTATTGCTGACCTTTTCAACTTGGGTTTTCCCGTCATTAATATTTGAAAATTATTGAACCATAAAATAGCTTAGTTATGTAATAAGAAAAGTTGATGTTCTGGAATCAACTGTAGTCATCTGTAGTTATGAGGAACTCAGTGTTCAGCTGTGCTGAGAGAGAATCTAATATTCTCAGACAACACATCCTTCATCTACTGCCAGAGTGAGCATCTTGATACACTACTTAATACACTTAAAGAAATGAGTCTCTAGGCTTGAGAAATCTATATTCTAGAGACTGGGGCATTTTAGAAGACTGTTGAGTTTTCTTTTGATCAAATAGATAATTAAAGTGAGGTTTGTCTGAACCAAGCTTTTACCATGTGCTTTCTTAGTAAGGCTATTTCTCAGCCAGAATGGTGTTACTCAGGGAAATAAGCAGGAGCAATAAGGGCTAGATGACAAGCTGGGTGCCAGTGGCTCATGCCTGTAATCCTAGCTACTCAGGAGGCAGAGATCAGGAGGATTGCAGTTCAAAGACAGCCCCAGGCAAATAGTTCACAAGACCCTATCTTGAAAATACCCATCAGAAAAAAGGGCTGGTGGAGTGGCTCAAGGTGTAGGCCCTGAGTTCAAACCTCAATACCACCAAAAAAAAAAAGTACTAGATGACAGCAGGGCTGTTAATTGGTGGCCTTAGGAAGCCACCAACAGGGTGGCTGCTGGAGGACCAGCTCAGGAATGGGAGGTGTCCTGCCTGAGGCTTGGCTTTGCCCTTAGCATCCCCTCTTTCCTTCTGGGTGGGGCCCCTGTGCTTCGTGACCATGCCGCCCTTCCCTTGGGAAGGAAGATGGCTTTCTCGTAGGTTGCTGATAAGCTGCTGTCTTCTCTCTCAGTTTCATTAAAGGCCGACCCACTTCTCTGGGCTACCCCAAGAGTTACGTAGGCATTCCCCTGGTTTCTGTGCATATCTGTGTGCAGGAAACATTTGTCACACAAGTGACTTGAGGTCTCCCAGTCAGGCTCCATCCCATTTGCTTTTAAAAAGTGCTAGCCAGGTACACGGATAGAGTCCAACACTGACCAGGATTGCACAGCCTGAGCAGTGAGTGACCTCTAGTACCTGGGGAAGCAGTGGTTTCAGCCAGTGTGACTGAGATAGGGTGGAAGTAGCAGAGACAGAAAGCACCTAGTGTGTGCCTGTCTTCTGACAAGGCTTTCCTTGCCAAGTACCAGATCCTGGGAAGGAGTGCACCTCTTTGTCAGCAGTGGAAGGTGTCCAGGTGCCAACAGCTGCCTGTGCTCCACGCAGTCCACTCCCAGTTCTAGTGAGTACTGTTTAGGAACATCTGTGGCTCTGAACAGAGACCTGAGCCCATAACAGCACGCTAACTTTTACCTGCCTCTTGCACACGGGGTGATCTCTACTCAGGCCAAGCCTGCCTGCGGCAGCCCTTCCTCTAAAGTCCTCAGTTGCAAGTTGGGTAGGTCCAGGGCTTTCTTCAAGTCTGCTGAAGGAAGGAGGAAGTGTGTTGATTTGTAGGTTTCATTTTTTCCCTTAAAAATTATGTGTGTATTGTTTGGGGGTTTTTGAGACAGGAGCTCACTAAGTTCCCAGGCATGTCCAGAACTTGACATCTTTCCGCATCAGCCTCCCAAGTACTGCGATTAGAGGCTTGTACTACCACACCTGCCTATGTGAGGTGTTTTGCTTTTGCAGTGCTAGACAATGAACCCAGGGTCTCCAGTATGCTAGGCAAGCACTACCACTGCACTGTTTCCTCTTTGATGAAAAGGAAACCTTAGAACATAAAGAAGAAAATAAAATCCACTATAATTTCCTTAAGAATGCTCACTAGTGATAGTTTGGGATTCTCCTTCTTTGTGTACCTGTACTTAAACATACACGTGCATCTTTTGTGGTTTTGCGAAAATGAAATTCTATTGTGTGAACTGATTTGACCCTGATTAAGAAAAAAAATAAGAAAACCATAGAAGTATGAGTAATGCATGTTAATTGTGTGTGTGTGTGTGTGTGTGTGTGTAATGCAGGTGAGCTGTGACCGACACACATTTAAGCACTCACAAGTACACCACCCCAGGAAATCCAGTGTTACCATTGTGGACTCGCACTGGGAAAACCAAGAAGCCACCATGAGTGGGTCCACACTGGCCTTCGAAACCTGCCTTTTCAGGGAGCACCTGATGTCTCCAGTGCCTTCCATGTCAGCTCCATTGGCATCCTCGTCAGGTCTTGGGTTACTTGCTCACACTGTCTTTCAGCCGTGAGGTCCTTTACTTCCATCCCGAAATCGCTGTGATCACCTCGTGCTCCCAGGGTCCCAGGCATAAGGACAGAACTGTCCTCAGGAAGGCAGAGCCCAGGGGTGGTTCTAGGTCCGATCCGTCTGCCTTTGCTGTCTGCTTTCTCACCTGCCTTCCTCAGTGCTCTGTGAACCCAGCTGCTGTCTCAGGAGCCCATCATGAGCTTTGGGTATGTGTGAGCAGCCCAGATGTGATGCAGTCACTTGAAGTGCCTTTTCTGGGCCAGAGATCATAGCTTTCATTGCAAGAGAGTTCGCCACTGTCTACAGCAAGTGTGTAAAGCTGTTAGTACACAGCCAAGCCATGGTCATTAAAAAAATAGGTTTAAGTGGGGCCTAAATTCATCCATCTCCTGACTATCAGAGATGGTCCCCATGACTAGTTTTATGTTGTCTTAGAGCATTTTCTGTATATAGCTAAGTTGCCCTTTATTTTTTAACAAAATGAACAAATGATTTGGCCCACAATGTTATTTTTGTGCACTCTACAATCACTTCTCCATGTCAGTACTTACATACTGAAATCATGCTTTTTATCAACAGCATAGCCCATTTTTGAGTTCATCCCTTCTTCTTACATAGGATGGTTGCTTCTAGCTTTTCGGCAGTTCATGGCTGTGTGTGCCGCACATACATGCACACGTGTGTGCACTCGTGTCACTGTCATTAGGGTTAGGGTACGTGTCATGGTGTGGAGGACTGAAGGCAGTAGCGTGTAGGAGTTTTCACCTGCAGCACCCTTGCCAGTGTGGGTTTTCTCCTGTTCACTTCTTTTTCTCACCTGAAGGGTTAAAAAGCGTTGTAATATGCATTATTACTGATGCTTAAGATTCTTGTCTAAAGTTCATCAGCCATTGTGTTCTGCCTGGGTACCATTTTGCCGTGCCCAGTTTTCTCTTTTGTGTTAACATGGGATGGATAGTTACTGTTGAAGGGTTTCTAAGTTGTATCTCCTATCTTGATATTTCCTCCTCTTTGTTCCACCTTCCTTTTCATTTATGGTGTCTTCCAGTTGCATACTTCTGATTGTTCTTGCATGGGATTTTTCAGAGTTGTGTGAGTTCCAGTGAGTGAGTTTCAGATGGCTGCTCTTCACTTTAGAGTTCCTCTTCCTCCCTTCACTGCAGTTACCCGGCTTTTCTCCTGTCTGATGGCACTGGCTGACGTTTTTTAACTCTTCAGTATTAGCCTTGCACCTCACTCTGTCACGAATACGTTCACAGGTTTACAGGTCAGCCCTGTTATTCATGATGACGTTAAAAAACTGGAGGTTTTGCCAGGACCGACCTTTAGTTTGGTATCTGAGAGAATTACTTCCCCATAGCTCTACTTTGGCTACCTGTATTGCTTACATTGACTTTTTGGTATTTCACTGTTGTAGCAATCCTCTTTAAGAGAGGATTTGCATGAATGATTTGACCTGAGTGCTGCTGTATTATTTAGGACACCACGTGTTTCTGAATTTCCATTGGCCTACAGTGGGTTTTGCTAGCATTTAGAGACTAGGTTGTATATTTTCACGAAAGGACTCCATCTTTTTCTTCAGAATATTTTAGTGGAATGAGAATTCTCTCTTTACCCAGGGAGTTTCAGAGGTGTGCCTAAAATGTCATCTGAGCCCATTACCTCTCTAAGAGGTGTGAGATGACTTTTTATTTTCCTCTGATTTTGTTTTGGTTCATTTAGTTGTTAAATATTAAAAAATAAACCTAAAACCCCAAAATAAAATGTCCCTGGGGTCATTTGTTTTCTTGTTTTAAGAAAAGGTATCAGAGTAAAGATAAAAATAATCTTTTAAGTAAGTTCTCTTTCCTTCCTCAATTCTAGATTCATGTATTTGCATAGTCTTTTTTACTAGTCTTGCCAGGACTTTGTATCCATGACAATATTTTCTTAGAAATAACTCTCATTTATTTATTTTGGGGTTCTGGGGATCAAACCAAGCCCTGTATTTGCTAGGCAAATGCTCTACCACTGAGCTACCTCCCCAGTCCTTTCTTTGTTGTTTTGAGATAGGATCTCTCTGTGTTCCAGATTGCCTGGGACTCCCAGTTCTCCTGCTTCACCCTTCCAACACTGGGGTTTACAAATTGCACCACTACACCCAGCTCCCAGCTAGAAAGCAGCTCTCGAATTTTCTGATTTTATTTTCTGGTGGTTTTAGGGTTTGAACTGAGGACATCGGAGTTGCTAGATGTACTCTACCACTTGAGCCACTCCACAGCCCTGGTTTTTTGTTTTGTTTGTTTGTTTGTTTTGGTATTTTCAAGACAGGTCTCCCGGACAATTTGCCTAGGGCTGGCTTCGAACCATGGTCTTCCTGACCTCTACCTCCTGAGTAGCTAGGATTATAGGCGTGAGCCATCAGTGCCTGGCTAAGTTTTCTGATTTTAAAGGCACTGAAATTCTGTTTATTTGTTTTGTTTTGTTTTTTAACAGCACTGTGTTTGCTAATTGGAGAATTAAGATGCTACTCTTGGGCTTGGTCGTGGCTCAAGTGGTAGAGCGCCTGCTTAGCAAGCATGAGACCCGAGTTTAGACCCAATTGCCATCAAAAAGATAGAAAAAGATACTACTTTCTTCTACCTGGGGCTCTTTTGTGGTTTTCTTATTTATTGAGTTTAATTCCGCCTTCACTTTTATTTGTTCTTCCTGTTCAACAGTGAAAAGCTGTTGTTGCTGTGGTATGTGATACTTACTCTTTCTCTGTGTTGTTTTCTAGGACACTTGGTTTCCATTTCCTTTTGGATTCAGGAGTAATTTCACAGGCTGTTTTCACTCTATACTGCTGTCTTTATTTCGACTTTGGTTAATGATGACTTGTTTTCTCAGGGAGTCGGAGAGCTCGTGGCTCTTTGTTCATTCCTCTGTTGGAGGTTTTGAGGCTTGCTTTAAGGCCTCACAGGTCTTCTGAAAATGTTTACTGGGTGCTACATACAGTCTGTTGTCATGTACTCTTAACTGTAGCAGTCAGATTGTTTTAGCTGGGGGCGGAAGCCAAATTCTTGCATGTGCTTGGCAAGCACTATCCCCTATGCCACAGTCAGCCACAGCCAGCCTCAGCCAGCCTCAGTCAGCCTAGTCAGACTGTTACCTGCCGGAACCCCAAGCTCCAGTGTTGCCAGTGGCCTGGGGTGACCAGGAATACCCAGGTGCCCTGCAAAACACCTTGCAGGTGTCATGACATCACACTGGAGTGAGGTTCTCTCCCTGGGTTTTGTTTGTTTTGTAATACTGGGATTGAACTCAGGGCCTCACACTTGCTAAGCAAGAGCTCTAACTCTTGAGACAAGCTCCCTCCCAGCCTTTTCGGTTTAGTTATTTTCAGGTTGGAGCTCACGCTCAGACCATGATCCTCCTACCTCTGTGTCCTCAGTAGCTGGGGTTAGAGGCATGCCCCACCATGCCCGGCTTCTCATGTCTGCTGGTTCTGTGCATCAGGTTGGCACGAGCCTCGGGAAACGTCTGTCATCTCAGGGACAACAGGGACCTGGTTTGCATGTGAGTCTCTGGTCTGTGCCCTTGTGCTGAAGACAGCCTTGTTTTTTTTTTGTCTACTTGTTTTGACAATGGGGAGGACGTGTTTCTGTAGCTTCTCATTGTTCCTAGCAGTGTAGTGGTCCTTCATTTGTCCTGGGAGCATGTACTTCATGTTTCTCAGGATCCCATGCACTGTCTGCAGTGACACAGCCCTGGGGAGGGAAGGCAGTGCACGTGGGACCGTCAGACACAGGCTGAAACCCAGGCTTAGCTCTGAGATCCTGGGAGATAAATCTCTCAGCTGTTAATACTATTTAAATTACTTTTTATCTTGCAGCTTACTGCTGCCCATAATAAATGAAATGGTGAGCATGACTGTGAGCAAAGCACTGCTGGGTAACGCAGGCAGCGTCTTTCAGGAACTGTTCTTCTCTCCCCTGCTGTATTTGTTAGGCTTCCTCCCTTTCTGATTCTGCCTTTGTTGACATAGTGGCCTGGCCTCTCTTGGTTGTCATCCTTGGGTTGTGTTGTGTTTCAGTTTTGTCTTCTGCACAGTGTTGCAGTTTCATTTAGTGTTTTGAGCTGATGCAGGTTTAGGAGTTTTCATGAAAGAATTTGGCCCATTTATTTTAAGAACTGCATGTTTGTGAATTGAGGGTCTTTTGTCTGTTTTTGTGGATGCTACCACTTCTGTTACCCAACCTCGTCAGCGCTCCTTCCAGGCCTGTTGAGACTTTGGGAAGCTTGTTGCTCCTTCCACCACTGACTTCTCTCTGCTCCTTCGGGGCTAGGCTCCTGCCTGAGTGGACTGTGCCGCCCACTATGCCGCTTCTGCTGCCAGCAGTCTCACCAGAGTCCTTTCTGATCCCCTCTCGGTTTCTCTTCCACCTCCTTATGGTAGGGGAAAGGTGAAGGAAGATGCTGCCTTCACAGTCCATGTTTTCTCAAGTAATAAGACCAAAAATGTACTTCTGCTCCCTGCTGGAACTGTGCCAAGTTAGTCCTGGTCTCTTTTCTCATAACATGAGAGGTGTGAAATGTGTTCATCGTCCCCACCAGCAAGCCCTCACCACATGCACTTTCTTCTTAGCTTCTTCTTTCCCCTGTTGGAGGAAGAAGAGTTTTATCCACCTTCAATGCTAATCCCCAGATAGATGGGGCACGTTTTTCCCTACAGACCTGAGTTTCCAAAGAATTGCATTTGAGTTGTTCCCACCAGAGGGCTGGTGGCCAGCGCCTCACCTCAGTACCAGGGGACCAGTGCAGAGGAGGCCATTGTGAGCAGTCCACCCTCTGTGTCAAGTGCTGCTGAGCCAGGCCTGAAGCTCTTGAGCCATTGCCATGGTTGTAAGCCACCCATTAGGGAGGCTGTCAGTGCAAGTCCCTCATTGCCTCTGCCAGCCTGGTCTGAGAAGGGTAATCACCAGTAGTGCAGTACCTAGCCCTTTCTAGAGCCACTGGGAGCTCCTGGTGGGGTCTGCCCACCCCAGGGTAAGAATTTGGTCCCTGCTGCCTGCCCCCAGTGGGATGGCTGGTGTTGCTGGTGAAGGGGAGCTGTAGTCTCTGTCTGCCTTGGTCCTCTGAGAATGTCTCTCTGTGCTTTGCAGGAACAGATTCCAGAGGTTATACTCTTACCGCTCTGGGTAATGCTCTTCTGGTCCTGTCTCATACGTAGGATTTTAAGGGAACATTTAATAGTCATTCCACTGTCCACACTTGTGCTTTCTTATACTCGTTTTTCATAAACATGCCTCTGCACAAGCACTGAATGTTAGGCCCTGTTATTGCATTTGCGGTAAAGTAAGAATTCAAGTCCAGTTCTGGCAAAGTCACAATGCCTGCCAATCTGCAGAACCCAGAAAGAATAAAATGACAAAAGGAAAAGTAACTAGCAGTTGGGGATCTGCAGCAAGAATTCTTTAAAAATAAAACTTGGTGATATTCTTAACCCCAGGTCATTGTCCTACACCCTACAGTACAGTCTGTCCTGCTTAGGGCAGAAACTGGTTTGTGAAGTTGAGTTTACTGTGTAGCAAAAGCTAACCCCCCGTGCAGAGAAGCTGACATTGTTATTAGTTGTAACGACAAGTCAGTGGGTCACCTTAAATCTGTAACTGTGATAAGGAAAACACCTCAGAGCTTGTGACCTGAGCTCAGTAAAGCAGCACCGTTGCTCTCTTTTGGCAGGGCTGTCTGCATTCCCATTTCGAAAGAATAAAGGGATGGATGAGCAGTGCAGATCCTGGAGTTTGTGTTTTACAGAGACACTGAAAGGCCTAGTGATGCAGAGGTCGGGTGACAGCACCTGCATGCCTGTGTGGGCACTGATGGTGACGGGTCCTTAGCCCTGGGGCTGTGGGGAACTGGTAATATGCGTCAGCCTTTTGTGCCCTCTCAGAATCATCAGTGAATGTCTTGAAGCAAACATTAGCTTTTTAGTTGATGGCAAGTGTTAATAAGTAAACGTTGTACTGACCTCACTCTGAATCGCAGGGATCCTGGAGAGTAAAAGGCTGGACCTCGTTAGAGAGAAAACCATCAATCAGACCATTGGCAACGTTGTGTACCACGCCGCAGACCTCCCCCTCTGGTGGCAGGTCCCTCAGTACGTGCTGATTGGCATCAGCGAGATATTTGCGAGTATAGCAGGTAAGGTGTCGAGTTGGAGCTGTCGGGAAGCAGTCAGAGCTGCCATGTCCCCATGTGGGGACTCAGTGCCATTGCGCTTTTGTGTCTTGTGGCAGGGAGTTGTGGTTAAACTGTGGTTTAGGGAGTAAATACTAATACTGTGGCAAAACAGTGTCCCCAGAAGCACCTTCACGGACATTGGTGACTTACTTACTGATCTGTGTGCTTGCACAGGAAAAAGAGATCATGGCTGTTGAGCAGTTTCTGCCAGGGCTGGTGCTTCCTCACACCCCAGCCCAGCCCAGCCCCGAGTCAGTCGCAGCTCACAGCTGTGTTGTCATGGAGATTTATGTGAAGAAGTAATAGTTTTTAGACATGTCCTTGCAGGCCTCCATCCCTGTTGTGAGATTCTGCAGTAGTGCGGACAAGCGTCTCCAGGCAGAGCTGCTGCTGGCTGCTGGGAGCAGCGACAGGAGAAGAAATGAGGGGCAGGGAGGCAGGTGGGATATTTTCCACCTTAAAAACTCATGTCAGATGGAGGGTGAATTTGTGAGAGGATAGATTCATCGCCACAGAGCAGCCTTTTGTGTACAACACACTGCACATCTGCGTGACAGGCTGTTGGGAGGATCTGAATTTACAGATAGGCCTGCTAAATTGCTTGAGACACACTACCTTTAAAATAGAATCTCTGCTGGGCACTGGTGGCTCAACCTGTAATCCTAGCTACTCAGGAGGCAGAGATCAGGAGGATCACAGTTTGAAGCCAGCCCAGGCAAATAGTTCTTGAGATCCTATCTCGAAAAACCCTTCACAAATATAGGGCTGGTGGAGTGGCTCGAGGTGTAGGCCCTGTGTTCAAACTCCAGTGCTGGAGGGTAAAAAATAGAATCCCTAAATAGATTCCCTGTTTTTGCAACTTTATTTTCAAACTTCCATTAGTTGAGAACATAGGAAAATTTTGTTTTTAACAAACTTTTTCCATAAGGAACCTTTTTTGCTTTAAACTTGAGCCACCCTGCCAGTCCAAGAATAAAAATTTTTTACAAGCTGATGTCAAAATCAAATGTTGCCTTAAGCATGAGAGCATTGCTTCTTCCTTGAGGACTTAGAGTCATGAGGGGAGGCGGTTTCTGCACCTCTGTGCTGCTGTGAGGTGGGGAGTGATTGTGTCTCAGCTCTCTCTGCCACACCCTCGAGAGCTTTGAGAGGTGTGTCCAGTGCCACCCTCACCTACGGTCCTCCCTCTTCTCTTGCAGGTCTAGAGTTTGCCTATTCAGCAGCTCCCAAGTCCATGCAGAGTGCCATCATGGGCCTGTTCTTTTTCTTCTCTGGTGTTGGATCCTTTGTGGGCTCAGGACTGTTGGCACTAGTGTCTGTCAAAGCCATTGGGTGGATGAGCAACCACACAGACTTTGGTAAGAGCCAGCATCTTGTCCTTGTATGGATCACCCGTGCTGGAGGCCAGGTGTCACCAGTGCGTGGGATGTGAGTGGATGAGGGACTCTTATCCCCACCCAGGGCCCGTTGCACCTTGCCAGTGACAGTCCTTGCAAAGAGCAGCCCTCTCGTAATAGTCGCTCCTCCTCACTGTTGCCTGAGGAGATGAGCTCCGTGACAAACCTTTCCTGTGTTTAACTTGAGTGTAATTTTCCTTTTCTTGACAACATCTTTTAATTTTCTAATATTAAAAACACAGCAGTATAGCTGGGCACCTGGCTCATGCCTGTAATCCCAGCCACTCAGGAGGATTACAGTTGGAAACCAGCCTGAGGCAGATAGTTCGTGAGACCTTGTTTCCAAAAAACCCATCACAAAAAAGGGCTGGAGAAGTGGCTTAAGTGTAGACCACCTACCCAGCAAGTGTGAGGCCCTGAGTTCAAATCCCAGTGCTGCCAAAAAAGAAGGAAAAAAAAAACAGTAGCTATGTTCCCTTCCTCCCCCTAGCATGTACATGTGGTCAGTCGCAGTAGGATTTTACAGTTATTGCCAATGGGTGACATCTTGGGTGCTGAACAGTCACTCAGAAGGTCAGAGTTTGCTTCGTCCAGGTTTAGGATCACTTTTGAACAGACCAGGGTACAGATTTCTTTTTTAAAATAGGTATTCTTTATAAAACAACCCTATTGCATTTTTCATGTTGAACAATGGCCACCTTTGATATCAATCTCAAAGTCTGAAAAAAGTTGAAGGACTTCTTTAGAAATCGCAGAATTTTCAAAGCCTTCCTGTGCTTGAGCTAAAATTCCTGTCCTACCAGATGAATTTAGGCCTGTAAAGTCCTAGTGTGATGTCCAGAAACCTTTGTCCTCATTATCCTCTCCAGCACTTGCACTGACTACACCAGCTTAGAGGTAGTTGTTCTGAAAGGAACCAACAGATGTAGGTTTCTCACATACTCTTTGCCCCCATGGACGACAACAGCCTGGAGTCCAGTGCCGGTGGTCTGTTCCCATGGACAGGCATCCTCCAGAGGCCTCCTGAGATTGTGCTCCCACTGTGGATTGTACGCCGTTGTTTCTGTTCTTTAGTGTGTCCTAAAGAATCGCCTGGGCTTGTCATCCTCACTGTCTTCTAGGCACTTATTCCCTGCCTTTCTGGTGTAATTCATCTCGCTCCCCTGTCACCCATTGTTCATTTCTCACAGGTTGTGCTCAGGGCATGCCAGGAAAGCATTTTGCAGAGCACATACCTCCCCCTCTGCACTCTATAGTGCAGAGCAGCTTCTCAGTTTTTGTACCAATGTAAGTTTGGGGTCTGTGCTGTGGCTCTGAGTGGTCCTGAGGCCCTGGTTTAAGGCAGGTGTCCTCAGTGAGCACCATGGTAACAGGTACCCATTTCCCCATTCAATAACTGCTGCTAGCAATGTTGACCTCAGAAGAGATGGATGCAGTGGACCCTCCAGAGAAACCCTTGCCTACCGTGGGAGCAGTTGCTTCCTGCTGGCATTGCTTTCTGCTCTGGCCCTGCATGTCCTCCTCATGCCGCAGTGTTCCTGCAGGAGGTCTGAAGGAGGGGCCCCTGGAGTTTTGTCTGCCTGTACTCTCTGCAGGTCTTTCTGTATCATTATTTGGATCAGGATTGATCTTCCTGCTTTCCAGTACACGAGTCTTAAATGCGTAGCTCCAGGCGCTTAGTCCAGGTCGAATGCAGAGCATTTTGGGAACCCTCCTGTGTTATCCCAACAAGGTAACTCTGTTCCAGCAGGAGATGCCCTGGCCTGCACTTGCCTGCCTGAGCTCGGCTGGCCTGTTTGCCTACACTCCCACAGACACCATTCTTGTTTCCTTGTGAGCATTTGTGTATTCTATCACATGAGTGGGTTGCAGTTGATGTGTTGGTTCTGCTGTTGATGGGTGCTGGTGGTGTTTGCACAGTTGTAGCCATGAATGTGCTGTGTGAGCATTCCTGCACATGCATTTTGATTGGCACATTTCTCTGGGCCCAAGAGTCTACATTTGGAAGCACACCCCCTTTTTACCCACTTACTGTGCACTTACTCTCCTGACTCTTAAGGAGGCCTGGGAAAGCCTAGAACGGCTGCTTCTCTGGTGATCGCTTTAGAATCTGCACCCCAGAGTGGTTCTGGCCAGGCGTGGAGCATGCCTTGCTCTGGGGCTCTGACGTCACCACACAGAGGTGGACATGACACAGTCCACGTGGCTGCACTGCAGTGACTAGGTTGGGGATGCTCTGTATTCCAGCATTGACACATAAAATGGTGTCATTGGCCTTCTGACCCTAGCCTTGTTCCTGAGCTAGGCTCAGGGCTAATCAATGTGGTAGCAAGAGCAACGTCACGTTCCAGAAGACGGGTGCGTGACTGTCCACCAGGGCCCAAGCAGAGCCAGAGCAGAGGACAGGCTGCACAATCTTTATAGTGTTGAGTAAGTAAGCTTAGTTTGTTAGAGGATCAAGGTACTATCAGGTCTCTTCCCAAATCAGCAGACATGGGAATCTTGTTTTCCACATTTGTATGAACCAGAATTTTATTTTATTTTGTTTAGCGGTACTGGTGTTTGAACTCAGGACCTGCACCTTGAGCCCTTATTTTTGTGATGGATTTTTTTCGAGATAGGGTCTTGAGAACTGTTTCCTGGGCTGTCTCCAAATGGCGATTGTCCTGGTCTCTGCCTCCGAGTAGCTAGGATTATAGGCATGAGCCATCGGTGTCCAGCTTGAAGCAGAATTCTTTGTAAGTGTGGTGTTGGTGCCTCTTAGGCAAACATGTGTTACACCTGCTCATTCTGTTGTTTGGTAAATGCTAAGGGGTGTGTTTTCAGACAGGAAAGGCCTTCAGAAGGAAGAAATCTCTCACTTTTTCTATAAACAAATTAGAAAGTGGGTTTTTCCTTTTTCTTTTTTGGTTGTGGGATTGAACCCAGTCCGTGCACATGCTAGGCAAGTACTCCATGAATGAGCTACAGACTGCAGCCCTAGCAAGTGCTTTTGAAGTGTAGCAGAGTGCAGCGACTTCACTGCAGTATCAGCTTCCTTTTCTGACACTGCCCACCAGCTCCAGCATTTCCCTCCTGTGTTCAGAAAGCGGCTGGAGTGGCTTCTCCATTGGCAGCAGTGGTGCGAGTGGCACTGCCTGTGACTCCTGGGGACAGTAGGACTGCTGAGGAGCTGGTCAGTGTGCTTGTTACGTGTTCCGACCTCCTGGCTCCATGCTAAAGCTATCTGAAGGCAGGAGCACAGCAATATGGTTTTGTTTACTTCCTCAGATGTTGTGTTTTGAAGAAAAGAAAATTAGCAAAATTCCTCTCCTCTTTACTGTTATCTTTTCTAAGGTTGCCAGGTGGCTGCCTCTGACTTGTCCCTTTCCCCTTCCCAGACACTTGCTTTCCCCAGACTCATGTGCGCTCATTCTCCGCTCCCCCTCCCCTTGATGTCTGGGGACATCCTCATTTCTCCAAACTCAGGAGATGACAGACAGATGGGCAGCAGCAGAATGGTCATCTCAGAGCCCCTGGGAGGGAGGTGGTCAGCTGCAGGGTGGCCTCTTGTGTGCTTGCATGGCAGGCGTGCAACTATTTCCCTTTACCTGCATTGTAGAGTCTTGCTGGTCTGTGGGAAGCTGCCTCTAGAAGTGTGCTCACCTGCTATTTCCTCTGCTCTCCAGGCAACATCAACGGCTGCCACCTGAATTACTACTTCTTCCTCCTGGCCGCCATTCAAGGAGCTACCCTCTTGCTTTTCCTCATTGTTTCTGTGAGATACGACCTCCAGCGCTCAAGAGCAGATGGAGGGCCCACCGGCGGGAGTGGGAGGCCCTGACACTGCTGTGGCATGGCACCATTCTTGTGTTGATCAGCCTGGTACGTTGGGTTGTGGCCACCCACATTGCACTGAGATCAGGGCTACAAATGTCCAGCTTCTCTGAACACGAATGGGGCCTGGATGGAGTAGATGAGCATCGCCCTGTGGCTGGCTCCGGCATGCTGGGCCCTCCTAGAGGATTTGGGTCTGGAGTTTGGTTTTGCCATGAGTGCTCTCTGCTGCTTCTGAGCTGTCTCCCCTTTTGCAGAGACTTGCACGTGGAGCTGGGGCGTCTTGGGGACTACAGCTGTGCTGGTTGGCACCCTGATTTCTTAAATAATTCCACTTCCTCCCCACAAACCACAAGAGCTCCTTTTTTTTTTTTTCAATTAATGAGCATTTACTTGTGTGGAGATGGGCGAGTTCAGAGAAGCAGGGGTAGCCACATGGGTCCTCTGAGTGGGTCCTCTGAAGGTCATGCTCATGGTTTCCATGGTTGTAAGCCACATGTCTTGCCATTACCACATTTTTTGGTGGGGCTGGTGGTGCGAGCGTCTCACCTGCCTCAAGATTCTTACGTAAAGTGCTCGCGTTACTTTCTTAAGGAGACTTGGATTGGTAATACTCAAGACCATGGGTCCACTCAAGCTGCACAGCAGCTTAAGGGTATTTTAAATCTTATGGTTCAGGCCTTATCTAAGATGTTATTTTTCATACCAGTGAAACTAAAGACCGGTTTTGGTTGGCTGTGAGAAATCCATTATTTTGACAGAATTCGTGTAGTGGAAATAATTGACAGTGCAATGTGAACTTGAGCTGTTGGACAGTCACTGACTTTTGTATCATTACTGATGTATCTGGAGTTCTGAGTTTAACTGAATGATTCTGTGTTTTTGCGGTACTTTTGCTATAATTTTATTATTAAAGCTTCTCGAATGTGAGGCTGAGAACTAGTTCTTTGATTTGTCCACATTCATTGTTGGTTCGACATTCACACAGTTATCGTGAGGGTTCAGTCTCATGTCAGGTTGTGCAGTTTCCTGGAATAAGAGCTGATGAAAACTGTGGTGGGTGTCTGCTCTGCCATAGCCGAGAAGAAAAGAAAGATAACCAAAAACCAAACAACAAAACTCTTAATTCCCTGTCTCCTGCCACCTTGACCCATTTTGCTGACAGGACTCTCACCGTGTCACTAGTTCTCGGTGGAGCTGGAGGTGTGAGTTTGCCTGAAAAACTAGAAGGGGTCGAAGTAACTCGTTCTGTGCTATAGGAACGAGTTACTCCCTGCAGGTCCAGTGTGTCTCTTTGGAATGAGCCACGCATTGAAAACCATTAACCTATGTTGTCAAAAGACAGATTGTGCTCATTAGGAGCTTGTGCTGTGTGTGAGAACACCCGAACCACCTCCTGTGTGTGCTGTGGGTGCCCTGGACACTGGCCAGTGGCCTCCTCAGCCACAGGGTTCCATCTACTGTACCTAATCATCCCTTGATGTTATGGTGGGAAATTCTCCCTGGAACATCAGGGAAGACTGAAAAAGGACTCAAGTAACAGCCTGTGTTGTGATGAGAAGTGTGTGTTCTCTGCCCCAGTCCTTGTCCAGAGCTCCTTGGGCGTTAGGAAAATCTTTTCTTCCAGGATCTGGTCCTCGACCTTTGTAATTTTCTGGGCAATAGCAGTGTTTTTGTCCTAGCGAGGCCACCCTTGGTGGGCTCCTGGAGCCTCGAGGACTGGTTGTCGGGATCAAGTGTGGTGATCACTCACGTTGCAGTTTTCACTCACCTGGCCTCAGAGTGGCATCGGTCACTATGACTCCATAGTGAAGCCTCAGTAAAATCCATAGGGACAGGCAGGGCTCAGGGCTTCCTTGCTGCTGGCATGTGGAGGTTCTTGGAGGATGGCCTCTTCCCGGGGGCCTCGCTCTGGGCACCTCTTCTGGATGGTCCATCTGTGTCTTTCGTAACAAATAGTCAAGTGTAAGTAAGTGTTCCCTGAGTCCTGGGAGCCTCTCAAGCAAATGAGCAAATTATTTCAACCCGAGGAAGGAGTCGGGTACCTGGACTTTCAGAGTGTAGGTTGCAGCCTGCTTCCTGGTGTTGGAGCTGCAGCAGGAGCATTGGGTGGGGTTTCTGGACGCTCGATTGGCGTCTGCTGGGGAGCTGCTTCACATCTGGTGTAGAAAAAAGGGGCTTGTTCTTCAGACAGCCCTGAAAATTGTCCAGCTGAAGTGGATCACACGTGGGATAGGTTCACGCTACAGCACTGGATAGGGAGCTGAATAAATGAAGACGGAAACAGCACTGTTACAACGGAAGGCATTTACAAAACACCTCTGCCCTGAAGCCTTTGCTATGGGCTTCACCTGTGAAAGGCTGAAGCCTCTGAAAACACAGGTCAGTGATGTCAGTCTGAAGAGGCCAAGGGCCCCTTCACCGCCGTGAGTGGGGTCGCTTCGTGTCTGCATAGCATCATGGCAGGGGGCAGAGCAGCTTTAATGAGACTGGGCTCCCTTACAGGCGCCTGTGGCCTCCAGGTTCAAGTATGCCATCACATCTGCAGTCTGTGACATAGAGCAGGCTGCCATTCTGTGTCCTGCTTTAACTCACTGGCAGGTCCCACATGCGCTCAGAGGTTGAGATGGCCTCTTGCTGTGGGGGACGGACGTGACATCACCCCACATCACATTGTTGCTTCAGAATTAGATGGGCCCTTCCAAGTCCCAGCCACTTCTTAGTTCAGGTGATATAGAATGGATGCAAGGCCATCAGTTGAAAATCCAGGCGCATTGGAGCTGAGAGCCACAACCATTTGACGTCACCGTGGGCCACGTATTTATGGGGGATTTTCAGGTAGAACAGTCGCTGGAGTAGAGAGTTTGAAATGTTCTCCTAACACAGTGTTGTTTGGAAGCAGGGTCTACAAAAGAGAATAATGCCTGAAAAGTGGCTTGTTGAGGTAGAACATATTAAATACATGAGAAGTAAAATGTATTTTCTATATACTTTAAAGCTGTAAGTGTTACAAAGCTGAGTGATACGTGAAAAACGAGCATTTGTGATTTCCAAGTTAGGCAAACATTCTGCTTGGAGATGAGCCAGCTCAGTATCCCAAGCTAGTGTATGACAAAAGGGAAGCGCCCAGCTGATATGGGTGAGCAGCAGGCTCTGCCTTTAGGTGACAGGCAAGTCACAGGCTCTAAGCTCTGAAGACCAGTGGAGTCCACCTTTCTCCCATCTTCAGAGCCGGCTGCTATGTGTTTTCTCATGTCCCCCCTCAGATCTGCCCTGTGCTCCCTCTTCCACCTTTTGGGACCTTTGATCACAGTGGGCCACCTGAAGGAGCACCATTGAGCTAATGGACAGGCTTCTTTCCCTTTGCCCACAGGCTCCCTTAGCCACAGTCCAAGGAGTTAAGGGGTGAACATCTTGGGGGGCTGTCATCCTGCCTACCTTGGCTGCACAGGCCAGTCCTGGTCTGCTGGCAGCCAGAGTCCCGCATCATTGAAGCCACCTGTGACACCCTGATGTGTCATAGAGAAGCCTTAATAAACAGAAATACCTTCCCCACATAATGAGCAAAAATGCAAAAATTGCCCTTCTATGGCCAGCATTGCAAATAGCCAGTGAAATCACAAAGGTTTTATTTGATGGATCCAGACATGAAGTTTTCATATCACTGCATAAATTCACTTTGTGAGCCCAAATGTAGATATGAACAAGAACGTCAGCAGGCCATCTTCCTGCCTCAGCCTCCCCAGTACTGGAATTATATAGGTGGACCCCACAATGGCTGGCTCTTTCTTAGCAGATTTCAAGAATAAGTCACCAGGCTGTACAACAGGTCTCTCATACTCATTCCATTTTTACTTAACCATGTGTGAGGTTCTCACCAGCCTTGTGGCCATCTCAGCAATGGCTCTCCTGTCATGTTCACGGCCTGGGACCCAGGGAGATATCTTCACGTGCTGAGGGAGACTTTTCAGATGGGATTCTGTTAGTGCCATTGAGAGGAGGGCCTTTTCCTGGATTATCTGATGTGATCACAAGAGTCCTTACAAGGAAAGAAGGAGACAGGAGGGCTGGAGCCAGATGGTGGATGGTGCAGAGATGAGAGCAGTGTGCTTTGAAGATGGAGCAGCCACACAGCTCAGGAACATGGGCACCTTAGGTGCTGGAGAGGGAGCTCCATTCTCTCCTGGGTCCTCCGAAGGGCCAGCCCTGTCCACACCGCAATTGTAGCCCCATGTCTTGGTTTGGGGTACAGATAGAATGCCATAGGCAGGCACTTAAATAGCAGATATCGATTCTTCACTGACCTGGAGGCCTAGGGTCCAAGTCGAGGATCAGTTCCATTCCTGGTGGGGCACCATCTTGGTTTACCCATAGCTGTCTTGGTGCCATGCCTTACATGACTGAGAGATCAGCTGCCTTGCTGTTAGGGCTCCACCCATAACCTGGTCACCAGCCATCCCAGTGCCATCCACTGGGCTTTCACATGCAAATTCTGAGTACAAAAACATGCAAGCCATTGCAACCAGGGACTCCCATTTCAGACTTGCAGCCTGCAGATGGGGAAGGTGACCCCTTTGTGTTTTAAGCCAAAGGTTCAGTAACTTGTCACAGCAGTACTTGAACACAGTGAGACTTCCGAGCCACACTCCTGTGGTGTGGTGTGTCTGTGGAGCTATGGCAATGAGTCCAAGGCAGCTTGGCATTCTGTCCTCTGCCTGCTTCATTCAGGGACACGAGGGACTCTCTCCTGCAACTCCTCCCTGGACACCACGGTGATGCCACCCTATACCCTAGGGCTGAGGTTGACACAAAACTGAAGGAGGTGCCAAAAATCCCTGTAGCCAAAATCAGCCATGTTTGGATGCAGTGTCTTCAAAAGTCAACACTACCTGCCTGGTGCCAGGGGCTCACACGTGTAATCTTAGCTACTTGGGACGCTGAGATCCGGAGATACAGGTTTGAGGCCAGACCAGGCAAGAGACCCAGCTCCAAAATAACCAGAGTACCTGCTTTGCAAGTACAAAGCCGTGAGTTCAAATCCCAGCCTTGGGCTGGCAGAGTGGCTCAAGAGGTAAGAGCACATGCCTAACAAGCTTGAGACCCTAAGTTCAAACCCCAGTGCTGCCAAAAAAAAAAAAAAAAAAAAGAATCACCAAAAAAAAATAGTCAACACTAATTTAAAAAAAAAAAAAATCCCAGATGGGCAAAACATCACAATTTTAAATAACAGGACTTGCGCCTGACCTATGTGGTTCAGCCTGCCTCCCCCAGCCCCACGCAGTCGCATGGGTGCACTTGACTTCCAGGCCGCAGAATTCTTCATCCCTGGCCCTCCCCGAAAACCCCACAAGCAGGATCCTTGGCTGCCGTGACTAATTGCCCATGGGTGATTTATCTGCAGTCATCTCAATGAGCAGATTTACAGCTCCACCTCCGTGTAGGTCGGAAAGGAATAGATGCACGCCAGGGACGAGCAGAGACGCCTCGGTGAGATTGCCACTCAGCAGTGCAATTGCGGAGCCCGAGTCCGGCTCGGCGGCCAGAGGACTCCACACTGCCTGCTCTTAGGACTCCGGCATTTCAAGGACATAAACTAAATGCTGCCTCTCGGTATTTTTCCTGATGCCTGGGACACCACGCTAAGTTCAAGTCCTCTGTCATGATGAGTCGAAACGCCACTGGAGATAATCAGGGAAGTCAGGTGATTCATCGTGTTCATTATTGTGCCTCCGAGGTCACTCATTCACTCAACAAATACTCATACACATGCAATACATACTGGTTGTTTTAGACTTGGGTTGGGAGTGTGGCTTTGCGGCAAGGGACAAAACAAAGTCTCTGCTCTCCTGGAGCTCATATTTCGATGCGGGAGACAGACATAGACACTACACTAATACCTCAGAGAGTTAAGGTTTGGAGGAAAACCTCACAAGATGCCCTAGGAAGAGGAACAGTTGGCCTTGGGTAGATTTGTCCAGGGATACAAGGTGACATCTGAGCTGAGACCTGGAGACCAGGGTAGTCAGTGGCTGTTTGGAGGGGAGGAGGCAAAGGCAAGGGAGAGCTGAGACCAAGTCTGAAGGCAGGAGAAGCTTGGTGTGAGCAGCAAAACAGAGGGTGCAAGGGAGTGCGGTCAGGGTGGACCTGTGGGAGACGGAGGCCATGGGACCTGCCAAGGCCTGGGAAGCCAGGCTCGTTCTTTAAGTACAGCCCTCGCCCTGTGCTGCCCACCTACGCTGTCTGGCCGGCTGTCACACGGTGTCTAAGAGGCAGAACTGCAGGCTATTTTCGCAAACTGCTGAGGAATTTCTTTGGATGCCTTTAATAGAAGAATTGTGTACAAAAGAAAAACAGTGTTCGATTCCACCAAATGTAATTATGGAACCTGGTTACTCCAGTCATTTTCCCAAACCTCTCAGGTTCAAGTCAATTGAGAACTACTTACTAGTGATTAGGTTCTTTCTCGAACCAAGGTGCATAAAGTAGCAGGGATTTGCGTCATTACTGGTTGGCTTTTGTGACACACTTAGGATCTTTTATCTTTTTTTTTTCCCCCTTTGGTGGCACTTGGGTTTGAACTCAAGGGCTTCATGCTTGCAAAGCAGGTGCTCTAACCCTGCGCAACACCTCCAGTCCATTTTGCTCTGGTTATTTTGGAGATAGGGTCTTGTGAACTATTTGTCCAGGCTGGCCTTAAACTGCCATCCTCCCAATCTCAGCCTCCCAAGGAGCTAGGGTTACAGACGTGAGCCACTAGTAACCGGCTTCTTCCCTGCACCCTGTAGCATGGTCCACCATCTTGCCTGCCTTGTCTCCTTTTTTTAAGCCAGATC